CAGTCATGCTTCATTCCCGGCCACGTGTAGGAGCGCAGGAGGTTATCACAAGTCTTCCTCCATCCGAAATGTCCCTAAGTATCGTGATTTTCCCCAAGTATCATGCTACAAATTTCCTCGCTGGTCGGAAAACATAAGCGGTCATGGACATCTGTCTTTTCAAACAGCAGTCCCTGCGTTACTCTATAGTCTGGGACTTCGTGAGGTGTCGTTTGTACCTTGCCAATCAACTCGCTATGGACTGGATCACTTTCGTAGGTGGACTTAATCTTCCCCTGCAGTTCGGCGCTTGCATCTAGATATGTAACAATTGCACCGAAAAAGACAGCTCACCTACTTAACGCATCGGCGACAACATTATGTTTCCCCTTTACTGACTTCAGTTCAAAGTCAAACTGATTGATCTCCCCAGCCCACCTAGTTAGTTTGGGTGTCATCCGAGCCTGGGTCTTTAGCCAACGAAGTGTTTCATGATCCGAATATACTTTAAAGTGGCGTCCTAGCAGATAATGTCGCCAGTGATTCAACGCTTCCACGTAGAGCAAACAACTCTCTTTCATAGGTAGAAGTGGTGACCTTTTCGCTGGCAGTCTACAAGACATAAACTCTACAGGCATGCACCCATTCCCATCGTCTTGCTGGAGTACAACATCGATCCCGTATTGACTGGCATCAGTGGTTATGATAAAAGGTAGAGATGGGTCCGCGACTTTCAACACTAGCTAATTAATCAAACATTTTTTTAAATGCTTGAAGGACGCAGTACAATCCTGGTCCCATTTCCAGATAGTTTTTTTCTTTAACAATATGTGCAATGGGGCAGCGATTACCGTAAAGTTCCGAACGAACTTGCGGTAATAGTTGGCCAGACCAAGAAACGAGCGCAGTTCCATCAACGTGCGCAGGTTAGGCCAATCTCTAATGGCTGCAATCTTAGCGTTTTCTGTTTTAATCCCATCACCATCTACCATATGTCCCAAGTAAAGGACCTGACGCTTTGCCCACTCACACTTCTTCGGGTTAATCTTAATTTTGCCTCTCGTAGTTTATTAAGCACAACTCGAAGGTGCTCCTCATGCTCGCTCAGACTCTTACTAAAAATTAGTATATCATCTAAATAAACAACAACAAACTTATCGAGCCAATCACGGAACAACTCACTCATACATCTCTGGAAGGTTGCAGGGGCATTAGTCAAACCAAACGGCATCACCACAAACTCATGGTGGTCATATCTAGTTCGGATAACCGTTTTGTGCTGATCCTCAAGCGATAACTCAATCTGATGGTAACCCGACTTCTTGGAGAAGTAACTGCAACCCTGAACTCTATCCACGAGATCATCTATTCATGGTAACGGTTCAACATTTTTAATAGTTATTGCATTAAGTCCCCTATAGTCTATGCACACACGCAGTTCGCCGCCCTTCTTTGGCACAAACAGAACTGGTACACCGAATGGTGAGAAACTTGGTTTAATCCACCCCTTCTCAAGCAACTAGTCCAATTGTTTTCGCAGTTCATCAAGCTCTTTTGGAGACATTCTGTAGATAGGGCCCTTGGGAATCCGGCTATCGGGTTCTAGCTCTATCCGGTGCTTAGTTTCTCTCTCAACCATTCCACTCGGGGTCTCTCCAACATCAGCGAACTCAACAAGCAACTTCTGCACATTGGGGGGAATGGGTTCTTCCTCTTTCTTACTTTCACTCACCGGGTGCACATATGTAACAAACACTTGGTCGGCGAGGTCATTCTTGACCACATGTCGGGCGAACACGGGGCCACTCATGCAGCAAAGGGATAGGCTATTCTATACGCTAGATGCATGGTAAAGTCAGATTTTCTTCTTCCCACTTGTTGGGCTAGGCAAACAATACTCATGTTCACCTAGTTTCACATCAGCATTGGCGGCCTCACCCCAATCAGTCCCTAGAATCATGTCAAAAGGGAGACTGTTCTCCACTAAGAGTGTCAAGGAGTGCAAAACATGTCTCGTCTTACCCCCTGCCTCCAACTTGAAATATGCCCTAACCCCTTCAACATAACTATCCAGTGCCATTTCTCAATTATCCGCTAACTTACTTACAACGGGCTCTTCTAGCTTATGAACCTTAAGCCTTAACCGCAACCTTTGCAAACCTTTCTTACTGATATAGCTGCGTGTTGACCTAGTGTCCACTAGTGTGCCAACCCTGACTCTTGTAACCTCTACATCTGCAATTATTAGCTGCCCTTTTCTCAATTTTCATCTCGGCCCAAGCGCGGCGACGAGTGATCAGTTCATCACCTATGCTTACGAGGGAACCACCTAGAGAGGTCCTAACACAAACAACCTCTGGACAATTAACTAGGTGGGGGCTTTTTGATGTCCCAGTCTCTGCCATTGGGACCTCTAGATGGGATGTTGACAGTCTGCTTGCATCCAAAGTCCCTGTAGAGGCAACTGATACCTCTATTGGCTGTTCCCTTTTGGGTACCTATATTCAGGACAGAAAGCAACAATGTGGTCGGGGTCACCGCATTTGAAACATTGTCCGGTAGCCTTCCTTTCTTCCCAAACTTTTTCATCTATCCCCATTTGTTCCCACAGTTTGCTTATGGGAATTTCAGGATGGGCTGGATACGGCCGCCCGTAGTTACCTCTACCTTTACCCCCTGTGGAGTTGGGGTCTCTACCACCTTGTGAGGGACCATTGCCCCTACCTCCCACATAGTAGCTACCTTCACCACTACCCCTTTGGGCGGCGGATCCTCTTCCTCCACCATGGCCGCGGCCTCCTCTTCCTCTTCCACGACCTCTTCCTCCTTCTCGCCCTCCCCCGTGGGCTGCAACAGCCGCATAGTCCCCTCCCTGGGCTAAGTGACCATTGTTGTCTTCTTCTAACCCGTAATCTATCTGGTAGTAGGTAAGTGATTCTACCTCTCCTTCTTCAAAAGTGACCAGAAGATTATCCTTTCCTACTATATTTATGAAATCGTTCGATCTTTCCACTTCTTGCCGGCTTGCAGGTCCTTCCAATAATGACAATATTGTGCCTCCTGCAGGAAGCCAGCGTGATCTACTGTGATTTTGTTAAACTTCTCGTAGGTCATTCCTTCTTCTTTAGTGTGGGGATAAAGTTGGGTTCTTAGGGGATCTGGGAGTGCTCTGGCGAAGTTATTCAGAGTCTGTGTAGGTGTCAGTCCATGATCCGGACACTGCAAAAGTTCATCCATAGTGGCTTTGAGAGGCGACGCACTCTTCCACTTACGATCACCAATGTTAAGGATCAAGGACTCAGTCCTACAGGCCAGGTTCTTATCTTCGAACCTTTCTCTAAGGGCTCTGAAGAAGTCTTCGATCCGTGTCCGTGTCCGTTGAGAGTATTGAACCATGGTTGTGCAGCCAGCCTCTTTCATCAAAGAGATAGTGAAGCTAATTGCGTCCCCTGTCATGCATGAACTTGCCATTAACACACGGTCCCAGTACATAATCTTTTGTGCATACAAGTATGTGTCCATAGCCGCCTCCCGGTGGAAAATGCTTTCTTCTTTCTTCCCCATATAGGTCCAACGCAACTTTACCTTCATCTTTTACATGGACTCCTCCGCTTCTCCATCCTTCTCTTTCTTGGGACCCTTCCCTTTCCTGTCCTCATCATCTCCATCGTCTCGTCCATCTCCTCTCTCGCCTCCAATCTTTAGTTTCTTTACTATGGCAGGGTCGGTCAACCTCTTGTAAAGGGCTTTATCTAATTGGTCAACGTACTCAAAAATGCGATGATCAATCTGTTTGGGGGCACTGCGCAATGAAATTATTCCATACTCCTTTGAATTCCCCTTGGTGCAACTCCATCCGATTCACAGTCCGGTTGAAAGCAGTGTTCATTGTTAGTGTGGACGAGAGTGTCAGTTAGAAGAGAGAGTCTCTCATCCGTGGCAGCCTGTTTTCCTTTTGCTCTTGGAGCAGCTTCTGCAACCTCTCCCCCTCCTCTTTCATTCGTTTCTTTTCATTATACTCCTGTCTTTTTGCCGCCACCATCTTATTGTTCAATTCCGCCTTCTTCTCCTACAATAGATTTTTTTCCGCCTCGTCTGCAAAAGAGGCAAACTTAATTATAAATGCTGTTTTTTCCTTCTTCGTCTCTTCTGGGAACTTCATCCTGTACCCGAACTGCTCAATCTAGTTCAGCGCCTCCTGCTTTTGTATACGAATCGCCCTTGTCTAACTACTTTCAACTTCTTCTCCTTGCGACCGGGTTCTCCTTCTTTCCAGCTTGTCTCCCTCTTCTTCTTCTTCTTCTTCTTCTTCTTCTTCTTCTTCTTCTTCTTCCAATTCCTACATCATTTTTCTCTCCTCCTTCATCTCCTTCTCCATTTTTTCTTTTTCTTCCAACTTCTTCTTCACATCCTCCTCCTTCTTCCTTTTCTTCTCCCCTTTTTCTTTCTTCTTTTTTGCCAAGTGGCAGTCTATCTCTGTCTGTTCCTCAACTGTTTGGGCATGCGTTGACTTTCCAGACCTCAGTATCACATGTGAGAAGAGGGTTTGCTGGAACCCAAAAGGAAAGAATAAGCGAAGTAGGGGTCCCCATAGCACAGACAGGGACAAGAGTGTGAACATGGGATAAGCGTCCATGTTGATCAAAGGCACAGGTACCTACCCTCCACCTACTCACCACTTAGATCTACCCCTTTCTACTCCAGCTAGTGAGATTTTTCATACTTTATTTTTAGGAGAATGTTATGACGCAATGAAACATTTTGGCTATAAGAAGACTAGTGCAAATCTGGTACAACGATTTTGGTGGCCTGGTATGCTAGACGAAGCCAAACAGTACATTCAGACTTGTCAAGTCTGTCAGCGGGATAAGCCGCGAACTCAAGTCCGCTTGGGTTGCTCAAGCCTTTACCCTTTCCTGCTGGTCCGGGACAGTGTTTCTATGGATTTCATGGATACCCTCGTGACCAGCAAGAGTGGCAAGAGGCATATCTTCGTCATAGTTGATAGGTTTACTAAGTACGCTAGACTGATTGCCATGCCAGAGACCGCAAGGACTGAGGACGTCATCAAGTTATTCATGGATAATTGGTACGTGACTTTGGACTGCCAAAGACTATCGTTAGTGACATAGATGTCCGTTTCAAAAGTGAGATGTGGAAGAAGGCTGCAGAACAGATGGGCAGCCAACTCTAGATGACTAATGGGAATCATCCCGAAGCCAACGGGCAAGCTGAACAGATGAACCAAGTGGTGCAGCATCTGCTGAGGCATTACATAAAGCCCAGCCAGGATGAATGGGATGAGAAGTTACCTCTCATCGCCAGCCTGTACAACAATGCTGTGCACAGCACCACTGGTGTCAGTCCGAAACAACTGCATCTGGGATGGAGGCCTAGATCTGCTCTAGACTTTCTCCTGCCTGAAAACCGACCTGCAGCAACTTCTGGAACCATTGAATTTGGTGTACAGTACGAGAAGTTGCTGCAGCAAGCTGTCGAACACATCAAGAAATCTGAAGCAATGATTGCTTCTGAGAATAAACATCGACGACAGTCCACATTTCAGGTAGGGGAACGTGTTTGGGTTAAGTCTAGTGAGCTAGGACAGGAATTCAGCATCCCTAGAAAACTAATGCCTCAATACTTCGGTCCTTTGGAAGTCTTGGATATTGTGGGTTGTGAAGAGTACGGTCCCTCGTGTGTGATTCGAATCCCTGGTCACCTGCGCACTTACCCTGTGTTTCACGCCTCAAAGCTTGCACCTTTCGCTGAGACACATCAGTTCCCATCAAGGAGATCTATGCTGCCCCCAACCATGGATGGCTACGTGGACGTCGACGACATTTTGGAGCACAGAGACATGCCTGTTCCCAAGCCTGTGCGCAGAGGAAGACCGCCGAAACCTAAGAGGGAATACAGGGTCAGATTCAGGCATCACACGGATCCAAAAGAAGACCGGTGGTTCACCAGAGATGAACTGATTGAGACAGCACCTCAGATTGTGGCAGACTACGAAAGAAATTTGAAGGGGAAGGCACCTGCATAGAGAATCTCAGCGGACTTTTGAAGCTAAGGGGGATGGAATGTGAGGAATGTGTCCTCAGGGGCCCTTAGACAACATGCATACGTTCTGACTGTGGCTCCCAGCAAGCTTCGTGCCCGCCCTAAGTGAAGGCGGGCCTGAATATTCACGAGAGGCCCTTATCTCAGCATTTTCTAATGCGGGTCTCAGACAGTTGCTGCACGACAGTTGGTTGAAGTGCAATGTTAGCCTTACCCTGGGCTCTTCCAGAAGAAGCAACTGCGCCAGGCAGTTGAGCCCAGGGCCCGGGTGGTTGTGCCCTGGGCACATGCATTGAGAGGCCGACCTATCACGAAGTGGACACGCGCCAACAAGAAAGCAGCATTGTCTGCGTATCTACCCCGTGGGCCAGTGTGAATGCAGCAAACATTCGGAGCCTGGAAAATTCTGGGTGTGCCCAACTGAAAAGGGCCCAGGCCCTCAACTGTCGCGATAGGCCAGGGCGCAGACACTGGGGCCCGACCAGAAGCTACTGGAAACTTCCACGGCCAGGCTCAGTGAGACCAGCAGCGGCTGCCACTTCCATATAGGAAGCCAGCCAGCCAGGGAGAGGCAGTCTGGCCTAGGTAGGCAATGCAGACATGCTGCTGCGCTCACAAGCAAAGTGTTTGCATGCACATTGCTGGCTGGGGCGCGCACGGGTGCTGAGAGGTGAAGGGCACTGCAGGGCAGTGGGGCGCTAGCAGCCATAGCCGGGCTGCAGGGCGCGAAGGCAGAGGAGGGTGACAGGGGTCTTCGGGAGGTGGCACAGAAGTGGGTGGACAGGGGGTGATGAGGGAGATGAGAGTACGTACCTGGTGTATGTGGGAGGTCGGCATTGGTGTTGACAACAGGTACATTGGTCTGCAAAGTCGAAGTGAGCCTGTTGCATGAACGTAGGTAGGCTAGGCAGGACTAGTAGAGTAGGCTGGGCGCTGGGCGCCAGACAGAGAGGAGTGACATTGAATACTGCGTTGGCGTGGCCTGAGGGCTCGAACATTGGCTCACGAGTTCATTGTATTGCTCTTATTTGGATGGGATCTTGGTGCATTTGAGCTCTCTGCTTGTTACATGACTAACTGGACATCTGCGTGATTTTGCAACTTGGTTTTCTGTATATCGCTCTCGCTCATATTCCTTGCACTGCCAATCTTATGCATTGATTTTGAGGCTTGATTTTTGTTGAGGGTAGAACAGATCCTTGTATGAGCTTAATTGACAACCGATGCCTCCTCTCACGAGCGGCAATCAATGGTAATAGAATCAAATAGATCCATCCAGATCATTCCCCACAATCTTCAAAAAAGGTCTGCAATGCCACGATAATAATTTCCTTGTATTTTATCCAGAATCCAGACTCGAATTCACCGTTGAAGCTTGAATTCATTTCACATTTTGTGCTATGCTTTCTTATTTGATCTGTGTGATTTCAATGGGGGGTTTCATGAGTTTCAAGTAGTGATTCTGAGAAAATCATTTGAGCTGCTAAGTACGAAGTGGTCTTTGAATTTTATCTAGAGACTACCGTCTTAACCCGAATAGAACGTACCGTCATTATCGCTGCATCTAGGCTGAAAATTGCCCCTAATACACCTATAAATTCTATAATGTCCGTATGTTCTATTGGGGGAAGACGGTGGAAGCAAGAGATCTAAGGCCTAAAACCCTATCTGCTCACAAGGAGGACGTCCAAGGTTTTTCGGCAGGAAGGCCTTTGTGATTCCTATTCATTTCTTAATATTCCTACGATTTTCACAATGAAGTTTGATTTACCATTTACATAGACTTCCCTACTCCTACTTGCTATAAACCTGTGCCATATATCATGGATGATAGATTTCCCTCATGCACATGTATGACAAGTCCTAGGGGAGGAAGTTATGCCATTGGCAAAATAGCAGCACATAAGCTCACAGTTATATACCATTCTCCTTCAAAGGATTCTTGGTTCAGAGAAAAAAAATCTTAACAAGACAGCTGTTGAAACGGTTGCAACTGAAGAAAGGATGACATACCCATGATACAGGAGGTGATTCCGTCAAAGGATTTTGAAACTGAGGTGGAGGGAGTGCAAGAGAGTAGTCACCCCCCTCAAGGGATGCCACATAGATTGCAAATCACCACTGGGTGTCAATGAGCCGAAATTATAAGCCAAAAATTTGGCAAAGTTAGAAATCAGTGGTCCAAAGGTCCACAAGTTTACGGGTCAGGGTTGTCACCTGGTGAAAATGTGTCTGCCATGGAGAGGCATCAGTCCAAGGGGTCCAGTCCCTGTGCATCTTCACTGAAAGACGTAGCCATCCAGATTCGATGCAACTTGGGCCAGAAGCTTGTCTATGATTGTCTGGGCCAAGTTAAATGGTTTGGATGAATCCCAGCCGCAAATGGACATGCACCTCAGCTGCTTGACCAGTCCAATTCAGGTCAGCCCACAGTGCCCACACTCAAATACTGAGCTTCCCAAATCAATACGCCTTCTGGAGTTCCTTCTGGAGTAGGAATTCGAGTGCAGCATTCTGGTGCTCTGCTCTGACCGCACCAGAGGAGGGTGAGCATCACCAACATCTACAGTGGCCCAGTGGGACTACCGTCTTCCAGGGAATAGAACACCCGGTCATTATCGCTGCATCTGGACTGAAAATTGCCCCAAATACAGCTATAATGACCAGGTGTTCTATTTGGGTGAAGACAGTAGGGAGCGTCAGGGAAGGCTACCACTATGGACAGGAGGAGGAATGTGGAGATGCCAGGAAAGGAGGAAGAAGAGGCTTCATCAAAGGTACGGGCATGTGGGTGGACGTCTTGCATACATGGTGAAGGAGAGAAGGCTGCTGCCATCGCCACCACCATAGCTGACAAGCTGGTACAGGCGAGCACCAGCCCAATTAGTGCTGAGAGGGATTGCGTATTGAAGAGATGTCTGGTTGACACATACAACGGGAAGGGTTGCTGGAGTTTCAGCATTCATAGTTGGTGAGACGTCATTCCCTGAGTAGAGAGGCATTGTAGACATTCTAAAGGTAGCACTTAGCGAGAGAGAAGGAGGTCTGATGCTGCAGCTGCGGATCAGCCAAGTGGCCTTGAACTCCGGCAATACCAACTTAATAAATTATTCTCCATAGCATTACTACATCCATCGGGCCCCTGGAACCACGGCTCCATGCCTGGGGCCCACAGGTACCATGAACAAACAGGGCCCCAAGTTCCTGTTTGCCCCATCAGTGCAAAATGACTGACCGTCTGTCTCCGGAAAGCCCGCGAGGGAGAAAGAAAGTGTTTGGCAATTGCGGGATCATCTGGGTGTATCAGGGCTTCAATTAGTTAATTATTGTTACTCTTGTCCAGTTATTGTCTCTGTTTGGTTTGTGCCGATGTCCTCATCCGAGAATTCAGTCTTGTCTTATCTGGCACTGCAGAGTTTCCAAGTCACACCGAGCTCATTGCACAACAGATTAGATCAACTGCAACCAAATCTGTTCAGTAACTTCAGTTCTCTTCTTCTATGCTTGAAATACTGATGCCGAAAACACTGATTGAACTCTTCATGTTTGTTGCATGGCATGCTTTAAACCCTTCTTGCCTGCCTAACAGGATGTGTGCCGATGGCAATTTCTTGGGGTGACAGCATTGTTGTGGCCGGAAACGATTGCAAGGTGATAATGCATTCAACCGGGTTTCCATGATTGTCGGTACATAGCTCTAGATATCAACTTTGGCATTCCAATAAACTGATTGTGAAGGCTGAGGACTCGGAATGGATATGGCTGCAGTGTAGGCTCAGCTTCAGAGTATTGTGATGTATATTGGACAGGGTGTCACTCGGGGGACCTCTTACCCAAAGTGACCGGCCAGCAGCAGATGGCATCTTGTGTGTGTGCAAAATTGAGCCCGAGCGATGATTCTCCAGGCTTGCCAAAGAGTCTAATCTATTTCGGTGACCTCAACTGCTGCGGCTACATTCAACTAAACCACCAGTACATGGGCCCAGCCAAGTTGAGAATCCAATTGAGCTCCACTAAAATTTTGGAGGCTCGGGACATGGCATCCGAAGGGCCAGTGTAAAAAAACATTGTCCCGCCGTCAGGTGGCGCTAGCACCAGCCCTGAGACAAAAAAAAATAAAAATCATCTGGCCCCAGGCAGGCCCCGTCCCGAGTCCCGAACTGCGAATTCTCCAGATGTACTTGCTGTTGGCTAATCTCACTCACTAGCTCAGCATCGAGTTCAAGGACTGAATGAGAACCCCCCGTCCCCCACAAAAAAAAAAAAAAAAAAAAAAAAGCCCGACTGAATGAGAACGGATTCGATCTACAATACAACATGTCAGACATATCTGCCTTTCAAGTTCCACCAGAGTACAAGTCAACGATTTATGATTTTTGTGATTTGGAATGGTGGTAGCGAAAAGTTGGAAAGCAAAAAAAGGAAAAAAGGATGGCGTAGCAGGAAAAGAAGGGAAAATTGGGAAATACATTGTATTGTAAATCGAATCCGTCCTCGTTCAGCCCCCGAAGCTCAAAGTCTCAAACACTGT